CTTTGATATACAAGTGCTTTGGATTACAAGCATGTTTCTGGAACGAATTATATTTGCAAACCAAGGTTTTACTGTAAACCACAAAAAAGTAGCTCATGGGTCCGAGATACACAGTGGACAAGCCAACAATCAGAGCAATTATAGTTAACATTTTTAATCCATGCAGTCAGAACTGTGTAAAAGTTTCAGTCACAGCAATCTGGGTCCCAGTGTTACAGTCTTCAAGTATTACCACAAGTAGCAAAGATCTTATGGAAAATAAACATGGCATTAAAATTAATTGTACCTCATGTAAGTAATACAAGAGAGAAGTTATATTTTCATGCTGACCTTATGAACACCCAAAGCAGGTAAAGTATACAAGATGTCCCGGCAGAGTGTGGCCTCCAGTGGTCTTCCCAGCTTAAACATCAGAAGTGGAATCAGATTTGGCACCTAAACATAAAAGCAACCCACCTAAAACTGGCATTCTATATCACCTATATCACATTCGTATACAGAAGCTTTTCTTTTGTGCTTACTTTCCCTAGTTTCAGAACAGAATCAGGTTTGAGATAAACCACCAAAGGAAATAATAAGCTGTGAAATATTGCACTTTATATTGCAAAGTTAAAAAAAAAAATGTTTACAACTGAAGTTTGACAATGAAGCAAAAGCAATAAGGAGAGGATGTAGAAAGTATTTGCATATTATGACAAATTATATTTCAATATGAGGTTAAAACTTCTAACACGCTTCAGTTTCACGCATTCCTCTTCTTGTCTCTCGTCCCATATGTCTAGTAGGAGAATTCTGGGACTGTATATTTCTACTTTTGCAAAATACAACTTTCTGTGTCATCTACAAGGTTTATAATATCTATGGTTATTTCTAAAAAGTTTGAACTTGGTTTGTTTAAAACTTACCAGAATGAACATTAAACATTTAACATCTGTACTCTGGTTAACAAAACTACAGGTAGTCTTCCCTTAATGACCGTACATTTAGCGACCATTTAAAGTTATGACAATGTTAAAAAGTGACTTACGACTGATGCCCGAAGTTACAACTGTCGCAGCACCCCCACGGTCACATGAACGTGATCTGGGCACTTGGCAACCAGCTTGCACTTACAATGGTTGCAGCATCTGGGGGTCATGTGATCACCATTTGCAACCTTCTCAGCCAGCTTCCAGCAAACAAAATCAATGAGGAACCGTGTGATTCACTTAAAGACCATATGATCTGCTTAATAACCACATGATTCACTTAATGACCACCACAAAAAAGGCCATAAAATTGGGTCTGGTCATGTGATGATTGCTTAATGACCGCATCGCTTAGCAACCTAAATTCCAGTCCCAACTATGATCATTAAGCAAGGACTACCTGTACCATTAAAAGGAAAGTTTCAAAATGTCTTCACATAGGAAGAAAAGAAGGAATAAGCTAAATATTTAGGATGGTTCATTCATCCATATTTGTGATGGAATGGACTTATGAAGGCCAGGCTCAGGGAGATAAGTGTGTTCTTAGCCCCCAGCAGGAGCGT